AAAAAAAAAAAAAAAAAAAAAAAAAAAAAAAATTCATCCTTCAAAGCCCTGACCAACTCCCTCCAACCTCCCAAGGTGCCCTTCTTGACCCTGACCAGGATGGTCTCTATGCTGCATACCACTGGTGAGGCCTACATGTTCCCTGGACCCACATTCCCTTGATAACATCCTAGGGTCATCTCATCTTTTCGTATCTGTATGCATCACTTCTCCAGTCTGTCACTTTCCCAGAGGCAGTGCCTGTCTGCAATGTCTTTGAATTCAAACAGTTCCTGGCCTTGTCTACCATTATAAATACTGTATTTACTGACAGACTAAGTTTTAACTATTGCTTCTCTGTTACTTTATTTAAAAATGAAACATATTGGGGAATGGGGGAAAACTAGGAACCAAGATATATCATGTAAAGGTACAAATTCCCAATAATGAATGTCATCATACTGTATACCTAAAATGTACCAATAAACTTAATGGAAAAAAATGAAGCATATTACTGGTTTACACATAGAGTTTTCAGTAAATTCACCTATCACCAAACATATTTCGTAAATGGTGTCACTAATGTTCATTACTAATTTCTTTTTGAAAGGCATAGGCAGACAGCTGTGGCCAAGTAATTCACAATATAAAGAAGGGAAAAGTTTCATCGATTGCACATTTGATAAAGCTATCTAAAATAAATTCTTACATGTATCTTAGACTGGAAGGAAAACTGACGTTGTTTTCAGGATCTGATTTTTCAGAATTTATTTCTGAAATAGATCAGTTTTCTACCCATAGCTGTAGTTAGGAACAGATAAAGGTTACATAGACAATAGCTTTGTTCCGTGTCCCTTGAGGGAGTGCAGATCTCGTAAAGAACAGCCCTCTGTGGCTTCCCGAGCCTTGTGTTTCTTGGCTTCTTTCCTTTCCCTCTCCTTGGCTTAAGCTATTCTACCAACTACAGCTCCAAGTACACGGTGCTCCTAAAGGTGCGCGTGGCCATTACCAGCGTTAGTGAGTGATGGCCAACCATGCGGGTCCATCTGTCTCACAGTATCTGCCTCACAAGGATAATATGCTTCATAGAAGGGAAGAACAAATGACAAAGAGCCCAGGAGACATACACCTCTTAAACCACAGAAGGAATAAAGATTAACCCCAGAGTCAAGGAGAATCAAAAGTGACAATACCTTAAAATAATGGAAAACAAAAACAGGGAATCTGTTTTCCAAAATGCTGTGGTTTTCAGTAAACACTAAGGGGAGGCTTTTCATTCACACACAAATCCCTCTTCAAGCCTGCTCTTTCCAATGGTGGGTCACCGCGGGGACAACACAGAGAGCGAGTACATCTGCCACGCTTTGTTCTGTGTCAGAGTGCTACTGCATATGCTCGAATCTAAACACTGAAAAATGCATTTTAGATTTCAAGTGACACAAAAGTTGATGAGCTTCACTTAAAGTGGTGCACTTAAAGTGTATCTTTACGCAATGAAAAACTCTGCTTCCTTTTGTGAGAGGAAGTCTGGCTTCTGTTCCCCAGGTGAGATCTGAACTGGACTGAAGCGATCCTCCCTACCCCAGGCTCCTGCAGAGCGGAGACTGCAGGTGCACACCACCATGCCCGGCCGAAGACGCTCTATTTCCTAACCGTGTACAGAGGAAGATGGTCTCATCAGCAGACATAAGATCTGCCTCTAGGGTACCACACAGTCACACCCTGCTTATAGCGTGGCTCTGGCTCTACAACAGGGACATGGAGCAGTGTGAGAACTGTGAGCCAGTGTGTCTAAGCACTTACTCTCCTCAAATATTTAACAGGAATCCCCCCCACCCCCGCCCACTGCAACAGTGCAAACAAAAATTGCAAGCACCTGAGTACTTCATTGTTGGGGAAGTTTCCTCTAGGATATGGAAAGCCAGGCTCAGAGGAATTCTGCGAGTTTTCCGATGACAGTGGCAAGTGGCAACATCCACACACAGTTGCTCCTCAGTTTAACCTGGAGATTTTGGGTTGCTGTGTACATAGTGATTCTTATTCCACAGAAGCACTTGCTCAGCTGTGTAGTTTTTTCTTTTTTTTTTTTTTTTTCAGCTGAAAAGTTTTATCCTCTCATTTATAAATGAAGAGTACACTCAGGTTGTAACTAGTGTGTCATCTCTAAAGAATGTTGATACTACCAGAAGAGGAAGAAACAGCTGCCTGGCAAGAGAAGTGGTCCCGATCCTCCTCACTGAGAAGTAGGAGTTACCTCCTTATAAGAAGCTGCCTTCCTGGCACTCATCACTATTACACATACGTCTCCTCTGGCAGATTCCAAAGGCAACTTGTACACCTAGCACAAACTATTTGTGCAAAGGCAGGAAAGAGAGAAAAAGTAATGTCTTTTTTTAACACAGAACTGAGGAAAATCTGCATCAGAGAGGTGGGGCAATCAGGGTTTCCCTTGAGCAACTCTGCTCGATTCTACGCAGCTAGGCCTGTGCCGTGGAACAGAAGGAGCCACACGCTGGGTGCTGCCTGGGAGTTCCGGGCAGTACCATGGGAAAGGGACATCTGTCCTCACTGGGGATGGAAGGACTAAGGAAGGCCTCAAGAAAGCCAAATGCAATCGCTGATAAGAAACACATTTTCTATATGTATAGATGCAGAGAAAAGGCCATACAGCAAAGAATGACAACCTAAAAGTAAAGTCTAAGAGGATTAATGAGCTACGATGGCACAAAGAGGGGACGCAACTCCGAACAGGATATTCTCCAGGCAATGGCTCACTTTGAAAATGAAACTCCCAAGAAGTCAGATGGATATACAAAACTGTATGTCTGTTTTATTTATTGCTACTGAACAGAATAGCCAATGTGCCAGACCCTTAATATACATCATATCAATCCTAAAGGAATCCTAAAAGCTAGATATCTGTCCTTATTTTATAGTTGAAATGACTGTGGGAGGGAGGTTATGTGACTTGCTGATGTTACCCAACAAGTACACAGCAGGCTTCAAGCCTGTCTGACAGGGCTTTCTCACACAATCCCCAGTGCTTTTGATTTTAAATACTCTATACACAGAAGGATCTAAAAAGTTTTTTTTAAAAGGCTCCAACATACTAAGTATTTCAGGCTGTGTGGGCCATGCAGTCTGCACTGCAACCACTCTGTCAGGGGCTAAACACATATGGACAGCATATAAACTCTGGGGCATGCCTGCTTGCCAAGAAAACTGGCAGTCAGTTTGCCAACTCCTAATGCAGACCAGGCCTTGGTACCTGGTAGTCTAGCACCCTATCCAGGCCTGCATTTGTTTTCTATAGGTATCTAGATCTAGTCCATCCATTAGACTACTTTTAGCCAGTTGCAGGGTAACCTGCCAAACTATAACAATGCTCTAGTTCCATGAAAAGATCCTTGGGAGCATCCAAGAACTGTTTTGTTATTTCTTCACAATGTTTGGATTCCTATCAAACATTGTTTGGTAGTGTTCCAACTTCCAGTTGGGAAAGCCCTGGTAAACACCTGGTGCCCTACGGGTGACCTCTCATTGCAAAGGAACAGAGCCATTCTTTGCCATCAATCAACCGGTTATTCCATTTCTGGGAGACTCAATACCCTTAGGGAGCAGAAAAAATAACAACAACAACAAAAAAAGGAGATTCTCAGCTCCAAAAGATGGTGATCAGAGACTGAGCTTGTGGGGCCATGCCAATTACTTGATTCATTCGTTCATTTAAATGTTACTGAGTGCCTACTCTGTACCAGGCAGAAACACCTACAAACTTCAGACTAAAAAGACTGACGCACAGCTCTTGAATAAATACTTTACACAGAGCAAATCTCTGCAAGACCTCAGCTAGAACACTACTCATTTTCAAGTAAACAGAAAGACACAGACAGACAAATGGTGCTGCTGGGATAGTTACTGCAATTAAGAGCCCTGAGACAAAGAACTCTGGCTTCCCGTCAAGAACAGCAGCCACAGGGAGCAGATACCATAACCTATGAGAGGGCAGGGACTGTGCCGGTCCCATCACTGATTCTTAGCACCTGGCTCAATGCCCAGAAACTGCAGGGGCTCCAAAAACACTTGTTGTCTGTATTATTGCAGACTACCTCCCCACTTCTGTCAGGGTGAGGCAAACAGCCCACCCCGAAAGTAAGATTTCCTGATTCTCACAGTCTTGAGACCAAATTCTCCATACCTGGATTGTTTGGTAATCCGAAGCGTCTATTCCCTTCACGGTCACCTCTCGGAAAACCCTGGGCTCCAGCTCCTCTTTGGTAAGATCACAGTGATAAATGATCCCTACAAGGAGAGGAAATCTCAGGTTAGCCCAGGAGACAGACCCAAGGGCAAAGCGCAACCAGATGCCAGGACGGCAAGAGGGGAACACTCAGCGTGGCCCCAGGTGATCACCAGCCCAGCAGAAGCAGCAGAACAGCCTGTTGCGAGTGCCCTGTGAGTTTACCTTCATCAGCGGCATAGCGTGCTGCCTCCCTTCTTACAGAGCTACACTGTAGGACATTCTAAAGCCTTCTGTGAGTATGAGAAAAGGTAAAATATCTAACTGTGGAAACTTCTCCAAGCCAGGTCACTTATGAGCGCAAGTGACAGAAGAGTCAAAAGGCAAGTATCTGGGTGGGACCCGCTACCTGAGAGACAAATGACAGCGCCAACAATCTGCCCAAGGTCAGCAGGCTGCCAGGGGTATCCCAATGCATCCTCTAGGTCTCCTACTACCTTACGCCTACTCATCCACAGACACACAGGGGACCACAACACAACCGAAAGTAATCAGTAGTCATTATTTCAGATACTGCTTTTTCAATTTTTGATTGAATGAGCAATTATGCACAACACCGAATGATTAATATATGCAAGAATTCCAGCTTATTTAACCACTAATTAAAATTTCACTTCCTGAATTCAATGCTGCTTTCTAACATTTAAGAACTAAATTGAAGTAACACATGAGAAGAGCCATTACTGTCTGAAAACAATGGCACTGTTGTGGTTTATGAGACAGAATTAGAGTGCTGATGTGGAAATGGTACTTCCTTCCATAATATTTTCAACATATGCTGTGCACTATATAGAAAACTGATTTTATGATCCCAGTACTTGCTGGAAAACCAGAAAACAATGGTATTCCCACGGGCACATTCACATTGACTGACTATATATTAAAATGGTGGCTCCCTCTTCTCAGCACCTCTGTGGATGTTTTTTACTAATAGTGGGGAAACAATACTCTGCCCTCCTCACTGGCAAGGAATAATATATTTAGATGTTAAGAGCATGACAGCTAAACTTTATGAGTGTTACATCAAATGCTATGCTTACAGACAAATTATTGGAAGGTTTTTATAATAGACATATGATTAACACAGACGAGATACATAACACGACTGGAGTATTGGCTTTCTTATTTTAAGTCACACTTGCATATGTATTAGAATACATCTTCCTCATTTACCTGCAAACTACATTTGGTGAGCATGTGTCCTGAGTTACTATGCTCACCAAGTACTGTATGTGCCTATATGAATGGAATCTTGAGAGCAAAAGGCTATCTTAAGACGTATTTCAAGGGTGTTTTGTTCACTACCCATCATAAACACAAAAAGCATCTGAATCCTCAAAAAATAAAAAGCCCAAAGACAGTGAGGATCAAGTACATACAATGTGACCACTGGACTCACCCCGGCTTCACCACAAACAGCAACAGAATAAATGACCAAAGATTTAGGAGCCAGAATCCTCAGCTCAGTGGCCTCAGTCAAGTCACCAATGTACTAGAACGAAAATTCCCTAGAGAAGGACAAGGAATAGGAGACATACTCTACATGCCTGTTTATTCAGAAAGATGGAGACATCAATTCTAGCAGCAGAATGAAATAAACAATACCAGAGGGTGACAGACACCTGACCTCTACTCTCCAAATATACAGAATTGCTTCTTGAGGAGGCACTAGTGCTTAACATATTTTTATCAACATTTGCTATATTTAGATCCATCTGCGTTAGTCAAAGTTACCCCGATGCACGTTAACACCATAATGTGAATCATTTGACCTAATGATTTAGCTCACGTGGAGAAAGAACAAGAAAGTAGGGTTTGAAGAAAACGTTTTGGAATTGCAGACAAGTCAAATGATTTCTAGGGAATAAACTGCAAGGTTTAAGGGTGAAAGAAGGAATTGGATGATGGAAATCCCTTAAGGCCAGAAAATGTGTCTGGACTCGAGATATTTCCCAATGAAAATAATATTCTAACAAAGCTACCGAAAGGATACAGGGAGATCAGTTGTTCCCAGTGTAACTGGAAATAAATATAGTGAGGAAGAGGGTGTTAGGATGAAGGGCACCCTTGGAGAAGCTACAAAGAACCAGAGAGATGAAAAAGTTGCCTATGAAAAGAGAAGGCAAAGGACCTTTTTAACCCATGAAGATACTGTGTTGGGTTTTAGTGTCATTAAAAGAAAAGGAAAAAAAAAATTGAGAAATCCAAGTATCTGAAAAACTACGTTTCTCGGTCTGTGAAAGTTTCTAAGATTTCTTTCTCATCCCTGCCTCACAGAGCCACGCCCATAGTTCTGCTGTCCTGGACAATGGCAAACGCAAGTCTGTCTGCAGGTAACCTTAGGCAACCCTGAGGTTGCACAAGTACAGAGTCAATCAGTTCGACCACTAAAGTGTTTTGAGCCACAGGGAATCAGTGCATCGTGCTTCAAACTGCCCTGGTATCTGTTTTCTCCCGAGTAAGACTCAAGGTGCAAAAGTCCTAAGTGGCTTGGGCTCTGTATGCTTCTGCACCATGTACAGGAAACCAGATGTATGCAGGTCCACAGCAGGAAGCTAGAGCTGTATTTATTTGTGACCCTGAGGCTTTACTTATAATTTCATGTCTCTGCCACTGACTGCAGTAGTGAACAACTAAGCTGCAGAGACCAGCCCAGAACAGCTTCCGAACAGATGTTTGTGGGTATGGATGTGTGTAGACATAATTGACAATTCTTGCTTTCCTGAGATCTAGTTTAATTATTTGTTTTCATGTTTGGCCTTAGAAGGCTCGAGTCTGGAAGCCCCATTCTGTTTTGAGATATTATAATTGTATTAAGTGGAGAAAAGAGAAAAACAGAGGCAAAAAGAGTAAGAGGAAACAAACAAAGCACTGAGCTAGCAAATTAAGGCTTGTTCAGAAGCTGCCTGGTGGCAAAAACTAGGAACACACTTCTCTCTCTTTTTTATTTTTTGGGTACCAGGGATCGAGCTCAGAACCTTGCGCTTGCATGGCAGGCAGCAGAACCACTGAGTTAAATCCCCAGCCCTTCTCTTCTCACAGTACAGATAATATTTCATCATCTGCCATAGAACCCATCATTTTACACTAGGACAATGAGCCCTTTCTTCCCTAGTAATGATGAGCTTGTTTCTGAAATAAATGGTCACATGAGGTCACTGAAGGAGGTTTATGAGCCTTTGGGGACTTTGGCTTTTATTAAGAGCAGATGAGTCACCGCTATTCTGTATCCCTTTTTGTCCTTGATTCATGTAAATTGGTTAAGAGGTAAGATTTTCCAAGGTAAAACTTCTGGAATCAATGTAAGGTCAAGGACATAAACGGTGGACCCTGCAGCAGTATGGTGAGAATGGCGATCCGGAGGAGATGGATTTTTCATGGTCTGTTCACTGGCTGCTGCTGCATTCCAGGCTCTAGGAGCTGGGGGTGTGGTATGGTTCTGGGAGGCACAGGACACCATAAAATAGAGTTCCTGCCACCTGGGCTTGGTTTCCACAGTCTCAGGGCTCTTTTCCTGGCCTCTCTTGATGCTCTGAAAGGTACCTGGGGAAGTCAAGGCTGCTAGGGCTGCCAGGTACACCAGCAGACTTACTCACAGAACACCATTCGTTTGGTTTTCATAACTCTGACAGCAACCTGTCACCACAGTTAAGACTGCTTATGGACTGCTGACGCTGTGACTCAGCGGCTCCAAAGAAAAGCAGACAAGGCACCACTGTGATTTGGCCAAATCCCAGGAGGAGGACAAAGTCACTTCAACACCTGCCTAACTCCCCCAGCGCCGCTTTATTTTATTCTCAACAAAACTGGGCGGCACAAAAAGAACTCCAGAGGACCCTGACAAATGAATGACCAAGGGAGGCACGTGCAGAAGTGTTTTCATCCAGACTGCTTTTAAAACAGGGTCTGCCTGCTCAACTGCAAACTACCAAGTGAGCCACACTCTTGGGACAATCACAGCAGAGCCGTATGGCTACAACTCTACACAAGCAGCATGAAAAGGAAGCAGAGAAAAACCGTGACAAAGAAAAAATGAATGTGCCCAACTTCTTAAAAACTTAAAAAGAATTATCTTGCTTGGGAGAGAATTAACCCATACCAAGAAATGTAAAAATCATAACTTAAGACATACTCCTTTCCTACTAGACCCAAGATAACATTTTTTTTTCCACGAAGTTACAACTATGCTCTTAGATTTATATTTTAATTCAGTTTACCATTTATGTCAGGTGTGGCTACATATTTCTTACATTTTCTAATCTGCACTATGTCCTTGGAAAGACAGACCAAAGGCTGATCGAAAGTTTGTATGTGCAGATACTATTTTATTAATCAAATTAGAACAACAGTTGTTCTTGCCCTAGCACAACAGAGAATCAGAATATACAATTAGTGAGAGTGCAGGTCTAGGCAGTTTTATATTTTTCTTCTGTTTCTGACCACCTGTTTTGCTCTTTTATTCCCATTCAGTGATTTCAGCCATTATACAGACTACGTCATTTACAAAATGTAACATTACATTTCCACTTCCCCAAAGGAAACCCAACATGGGTCTGATTTTTAAAGCAAACAACAGTGGTCACCAACTCACCTGGAGATAGAAAGGACGTGAACTGATAGAAGATCTCCGTGTCCTTCTTCTGCCCACTGTAGCCCACGACACTGCCGACCTCGAGTGGGAAGGTCCTGAGGAGAGCACCTGTGGCCAGGTCGTGCAGCTGCAGGATGTTCTTTACATCATGGAGGTAGCACAAGACCAGAAAGTTGGACCTGACACACGCTACCCATTCTGGAAACAGAGAAACAGAGAAAGTCTAATTCCAGCTGAAAACCAATCAAACTCTGCACTGTGCTGTGCAGCCATGAGACTCCTTGAGTCTCAGCTTTTGTCACTGAGTGTCAGGGTGGTCCTTTCCTAAATGACAGCAGCCACATCTTCAGAGGAGAAGAAACATTGTCCACCTTGAGCCACGGGCTCTTGATGGTCGAGATAATTTGTGGGACACAATTAACCCTCTGTTGGTCTGAATGTCTCCCACTGGCCCATGTGTTGGAGGTGTGGTCCCCAGCCCGTGGAGCTAAGGGGAGGTGGCAGAAGCTTTAAGGAGTGGGACCCGGTGGATGGAGTCAGGTGTCAGGACTGTGCCCTTGAAGGAGAACCTGGAATCCCACTCGCTCCTCAACCTATTTGCTCTTTGCTTCTCAGTTACTGTGAGGCCAGCAGCTTTCTCCAGGAGCTCCTACCACCATATGCCACCTCACTGAGGCCCCAAAGCAACAGGGCCAAACAACCATGGACTGAAAGCCACAAAACTGGGAGCCAAAAGAAATCTTTCTTCCTGTTCAGTTGGTCTTTTGTCACAGTGACAAAAAGAAGGCGGACAGACCTGCCTATCGTACTCCCCGTACCATGCTACAGGGGATGGGGCAGGAGAAGAACAAAAACCAAATCACGATCTGTGGGAATCATGAGTATTGGTTGTAAGTATTGTTAACTTTAGTAACTCCATATTTGTTAAGTTTCTCCAGTTTAGAAGGTGGTGTATTTCCTTTGTGGAATTCCTGAAAGTTGCAGTTTCTTGTCTCTGACCTTCAGAGTGTCGTTGTCTGGGTTACTACTACCCATGGTGGTTGTTTTTGTTGAGCCTGTTTGCTCTTTCCTGTGTGAACTTTCATTTACTATGGTAACCCCATCCCATAATAGTTTGTGGGTTTTTTGCTTTAAAAGGCTGATGCTTGCCGGCAATAAACGTCGCCTTGATCAGACTCTTGTCTTGGCGTCCTTCCTTTCTCTCTGCCCCATCTCCACCCCGCTGCTCTTTCAGGTTTGAGACACTGCTGGACAGTGCTCTGCGTCGCCGGCTCGCAACAACGATCTATGTCTTTCATGGTTGATTATTTAGAAAAAGTATATTTAAGACTTGGTGTATACTAAAAATGGCCAGAAGGTGTTGAAGACACAAGTAGAAGATGAGGTCATTTCTGTCCCTGAGATAACAATCATAAAAATTCAAGTAGTAAAATGTAGGTGAGGATAAAGGTTGTTTGTTGAGGACCCCAAACAAATTAGAGTCCCTAAGCAAAGACTGAATTTTGTCTTAAGTACAGAGATGTGCAAATCTGGAGTGGGGGGTGGTATCAGATGGGTTATTAGGGAAAAGACAGCTTTCCAGGGGATGAGGTGATAGAGGACAGGTGAGTCAAGAAACGAAGGGCAGAGTGAAGAGACAGGAAAGACCATGAGTGAATCTTGAAAAAATGGGTGAATATCAACGAGGGCAGAAAGGAGGGAGACTGATAAAGAAAACAAGTGAAAGATCCATTTTCAAGAAGAAAAAAAGCTGTTAAATTCAGAGAGAGGTGACACTGCTAGTGGTTACTGATGGGACAGTTGGAGAGCCAGGTGGGAGTTCAGTTGGTCTTGACTGCCACTTAGAACAGAATGGTGCCATAAAGACAACATCAATTAAAGGATTTTTATACATGTCAGTTGGACAAAGAAGAACAAAGTCTACAGAAAAATGGAAGGATACCAGTACAAACACTGTTGCAGAGAGCCAGGGAGAACAAATGATAAAGCCTGGGCAGAAGAGGACAGGAATGAAAGGCAATTCCTAAGAATGCCCAGGATTTCAGGACAGCAGGGACGGACGTGGAAAGGGAGGCAGACAAGGGAGTTCTCCTCTATGCCCAGGGCAACAACCTACAGCGAAAGTGCTGAGTGACCAGGCAGAAAAGAGGTGAGTGAGGGGCTGGGGTTAAAAGGGGTACCAAAGGGCAGGCAGAGTCAAGGTGAGGCAGGGACAAAGGGAGGGATGCTATACCAAATGGAAGTAAGGGCTGAATGTAGCAGCTCAAACACATTGAAAACACAAGCTGTTCTCGGGTGCCATGGTGGGGTCTTCATACTGCTTATTTCCATAACCAAGAAACGAATAGTTCACACTGTAATGTTGTCAATCATCTACATGAATGGGGAGTCAGGGTCGTCAGCACCCGTCTTGGTTGGATTAGAGAACTAGAACAGTGAACTCATCCTAAAGTGAGGATACAAAGAACTCTTTTATCCAATAGTCTCCATCTCTAAAGTGGTGTGTGTGTTTTAAGAGTACCTCAATCAAGCAATGTATTTCACATGGTTTAATGTTCTAAAAAGAAAAAGTATGGGAGAAAATTGAAGTAAATTACAGCTGTCAAAGAATAATCACTGTGTGCTAACTACAAGTACACCAGAATTATAAAACAGACAAAGGGAATAATAAAAGGACAAGGAGATTTGTGGACTGTCATTAATAAAAGCTCTGACTTTATAGCTGTACTTTATGACTCATCTCTAGTTTTTATTCTCATTGGGGCATTCCGTGTTAATGACATAGAGCAAATTTAACTGTATTTCTCTTAGAATTGATGAGCTCCACTGAATAGTACAGGTTTCTTCTTTCTAGACTAAAGAATATATAGCCTTTCAGAAGGAAGACTATAAAAATATATCAACCCCTCCCTCCCAAATCTCCCAGCATCAATTTGCATTTTGTTAGAGCTACAAATGAGACAGGATGTTACCTTAAGGCAGAGTTACCCACCCACCCCCCCTTTCATCTTTAAAGGGAAAAAAATTCCAAAGTCTTGGGAAATATTTTCACCATCCACAGCGGTTCCCTCTGTAAGGATCACGGTTCCAACTTGGCACACATCAGAAAAGTATCAGGGCCTTTACATAAAGATGCACACCGCCAAAGTCTCATTTGGATACATCAACACAGAGTCAACCCAGGTGGAGTGGCGCTGGCTGTCCTGGACCTCATGGAGGAAATTCCTGCCACGGTGTGAACAGAGCCATCAGGCTCTTAATGTGACTATGAAGATGTTTGAGGAAATGACTCCAAACCTGTTCCATGGCTCACAGACCCTTCCTCCAAATCAAAAGTGGGTCAGAGAGTAGGAAAGTTTTGAGGAGACAGGTGAGGACATTTCCTTGGAAAGAGCTCCTGCCATGCTGTAAATCTGCTTGCTAGGCTATGGGTTATTCCTGCCTAAGAGAGACAAAAGACCAAGAAAACCTGAGAAAAGCCAGAGACTGTGACTAGAAATCGAGAAGGCTGAGGAACTGAGGCAGAACCTAGGATAGGCAGCTGCCTCAGGGCTACAGAGGTGGATTTTTCAGGGAAGAGTAGTCAGGGAAGGATGTCTTAGGTCCAGACAAATAGGACTGGCTAGAGGGACTCCAGATCTCATTACAATGGGATGGAGTCAGGTTCTTGGAGGCTGAGGAGAATTTCAAGCAAATCAGTGCTCCCTTCAGAGCCAAAGGAACTACAGAGACAAGGGCCTGTCAGGAAGTGCCCAAAGGAAGCTGTGACCCCACGAGACACAGCTGCCATCATCTGCTGACACTCCACGCAATGCCAGGGTAAAATACCTGCCAGGCACAGAGAACACATAGCTCTGAGCTGGGGAGGAAGAGTCCCTTAGTGGTCCAGGTCATGAACCAACCACAGCTGCTATAATTCACTGAAGAACTGGCTGCAGGAGCACTTCTGCTGAGCCAGGACCACTCTGCAGGCTTAGTGTGTGTTTTCTCCAATTATGTACCATGCACCTGAGCATTTCTGAATGGTCCTGGATTTTATCCTCATTCAACCCACACCAGAAGTTCACCACTAACAAGTCAACTCATGGAAGATGCTGACCTTTCCTTTTGTGCAAAAAGTTGCAAAATCAGTGAATCTTATTCTAATCAAATTCAACTTTAGAATAATAATTTATAAACCAGCATGTCAATTTTGGAAATATCAGAGAAAATGAACGAAAGGGACCTGAAGGCACCATCAAACACACTGATAGAGAAGTACAGGTTCTCAAGAGGTTAATGTAGCTCAGTACAAAAAGCAGCGACTGCAATGGTTTTCAATTAAGTCTGACATTAGTCTATTTTTTCTTCTAATAAGAAGACTGTAGGTTCATCCTCAGATCTACAATAAGGAGATGAAAACAGCCAAAGGTTACTCAAAAGCTTCAATCTAAGGCTTTTGAATCAAAATGGTTTTAAGAATAAAACATCAGTGATTATTATCAGACAATAAGCATACAAAGACAACTGCTATTTGTTTTTAAAAAGCAGTTCCTTTTAAAGTCTGAATCCACACCTTCACGATTGTATGAAGATTCTGCATTTCCACACGATATTGTACTGTTACAAAGATGTCACAGCGAAGACTTGGATGCACCATTTAGACATCTCAGTGCTAATAACAGTAAATCAAAGGTTCTTCATCTTGTAATCAGTCACTAGAGAATGAGATGGACCAACCTGCTGGCTTTCTCACCAAAAACAAAACACCCTTTTCAAGCACGTTGTGATCTTACCTAAGACATCTTTCTCGTGCTCAGGAACAAGCACTTTCCACTTAGACTCATCAGGATCCGTGAAGTCAATGTTGATCAGGCGATAGTTGGGAGAACGGCGATTGGTCTTGAACGTGAAGACTGACCCCTCATTGGTCACATAGTCATATTCTCCTTCAAAGTTGTCGATCAGTTTTACCCACTTCAGGATTCCTGGCAAGAGACCAAGCATCCCTGTTATTGTAAGACAGCTAAACGAGGTAGAAATATTACAAGCAGTGAAACAGGGCGATATAAAAGATGACAACACACTACAACTGCGGCCAGAGATGCATCCATTGGAGACAAGGCCTCAAGATAAAGATGAGATGACCTGGCCCTCATACGTCCCTAAAAGATAAGTGGTAACATCTAGCCTAGTAAAGTCTAGATAGAAATCAGTCACCCTGGTGGGTAAGATCTCCAGATCCATCCCTTCCTAAGAAAGTTCTTTGTTCTTTCCATGTACACCTGCTATGTGTGACCTGCTTCCCCATTGGATCAGTATTACCTAAGTGGCTATACCTGTAATTTTATTGTTTGATCATAGTTTGGACCCACATTGTGCCCACCTCATGATTTTGTACTCAGTTCATGATTTTGTGCTACAAAACTTCCCTTGTGGAGTCTTCATCAACCCACTCACGCCCCACTCCTGTATTTCAGGAGTTAAAATCTATCCTCAATAAATATTTCCTACTCTAAACCTCCACTGTTCCTTACAATTCATTCTTCAATTCTGGGGGACATGAACTCAGCATATCTGACATCTAGCAGGTTGGAAGCTATATTATTTCCCCTATATCATTTGGAGGTCCTCTATCACTGTCACCTCTCGGATGTTAAAAACTGGTGTAGGTTTATATGTAGAGAGAGGAAGGTCGAGCTCTTCTATCTATAGAAAATAAAGCCAAGATGATATTTGAAAACTCTAAGGCATGAGAAAGCAAGGACCAGTTGTGGACGAATTATAGTTTTTAAAAGATGCTGAAGGGCCGGGGATTTAGCTCAGCGGTTCGGCGGCCTGCCTTGCAAGCACAAGGACCCAAATTTGATCCCCGGTACCAAAAAAATAAATAAAATAAAATAAAATAAAAGATGCTGAAAACTGGCAAAAACACTGGCAAAGTGGGGAAACAGGGACCTCACCCCTGGCCCATTACCCCACTCCCATCGGAGCGAGTCTCAAATCTGAGCACTTCTACGTTTTTCATCACACCACGCTAAGTTTTCACTGTCACAGCCTGGCTTACAGCAGTGGCTCTCAACTTGGGGACAACTGAACTTCTGTCCCCAGGGGACATTTGGAAGTGTAAAGGGACCTTTGGGGTTGTCAGAACTTGGGTGTGAGGGTTATTATTGGCATCTAGTGGGTAGAGGTCAGAGACATTGCTAAACACACTACACCACACAGCATGGCATACAAAACAGCAGCAGCAGTCAGCTCAGACTGTCAACACTGCCAATCCCGAGAAGACCCGGGCTACAGCACTGGTTTTCTGCCTGGTTTCTGCATTGCCACTCTTGCTTTCTCAGGAGAGCAGCCATCACCGTGTCTCAATATCTTGCTTGACTTGGTCCACAGTGGTGCCTTCACAAACTTTCAGCAACTTCCCTTTGACACTCTAAGCAAAACCCAGACCCGCCAGTCCTGCGTGTGACATTCTTTCCTCAAGTAGCCAGCTTCAGGCTGCTCCGACTCTTCCCTCACCTCCTGTTCTCCAGTGTCCCTGGCCTTTGCTCAGCTCCTTCCGGTGTGCTTCTGGGCCACACCACAGGCTGGCTCCCGTGCCTGGCACACCCTCAGATGGGCCAGCCACTGCTCATCGGCACCCAGCTCAGTCCTCGTGGTACTTCTCTCAAAACCCAATTATGTACTGACTTGCCTGTTTGTGGTTTATCTTTTTCTCTTATTAGTATATGTGTGCAGCACATAATGTTTATACTCCTTGTGTGGAGTTGACGCATGTATATAACACATCTTAATTCCTTTCTTCATCCCTTTTCTCTCCTTTTCCTCTCCCTTTCCTCCATCTCTCGATCACCACACTCTGCACTAAACAGAATGATGGCTACTTCAAAGGAACAAAAGTTGTGCTGAGTGAAAGAAGGGACATCCTACAGTTCTTTATGCTGGAGACGGTCACAGTTAAAAACATCTTCATTATATTCAATATATCATTAGCATTGAAAAGGCTCACTGCAAACACATTTAATATTTCTACCCCCTCAGGCATCTCTCTCATAATGTACCTGACAGATCTTGAGAGAACACCTTGAAGGTTGTATAAACAAAAAAGTTCTCTGACTTCTGAACTACTGAATGCCAATGCCAGATCCTGAATATTCTCCAGTCATCTATTTTCAATTTCAGTCACTGTGAAAATGAAACTATGTGAAATATAGTCACACTGCTATATTAATTTGACTCATTTATATTCCTTGTATCTTTCATGAGCACTTTATATCCATTATCTCATTTATGTCCATAGCATATCTTTGTATAATTTGTTGTTGAATCAAATTTATTAGGGAAAATATAATTCCATCACAGAAAGAGTGAGAGCTGGGATGTAGCTCAGTGGTACAATAACTACTGAGCATGTGTGAGGACCTCCTGGATTTGATCTCTGGTACTGTGAAAGAAAGAAACAGGAGGAGGAATGGAAGGAGAAGGAGGAAGACAAGAAGAAGAGAAAGGAGGAGATGACAGGAAGAAAGAAAGTTTGTTTTGTGTCCCACAAATTTGGACTGAAACCCAAGCTTTCAGGTTCAGGATGTAGTTTAGCAGTACAACATTTACACAAAGCCCTTGGTTGGATCTTCAAAATGGCAAACAATCAAACAGACTTCTAAAATACTCAGCTTTCCCACAAAGTTTTGTGACTGTGAGCAATCAGTTTATCCCCCACTGTCTCATTTTTCTCAACTAGAAACTAAGAATACAAAGACAATGTAAAAATTATTATGGAAATGACTACTAGCACCTACTCCCTAATAAAAATGCTAGAAATGAGGGCTGGAATTTAGCTGAGTGGTTCCACTACCTGCCTTGCAAGCAAAAGGTCCTGAGTTTGATCCCCAGTACCGGAAGAAGAAAAAAAGCAACAAAAATATTTCAAGTTGTTGGCATTAAGTCTAGTAAGATCCGTATTTTAAGAAACAGCTCCTAGCTATCCTACATTCTAGCAATAATCAGTTCAAAAATGAGGGTGGGAGGACTTCACTTAAGCAAACTTAACAAGTACCTAGAAATGCACCTGATGTAAACTGTGTAGTCTATATGAAAACACATCTAAATTCTTTCTAAGGAAATTTTAAAATAAAAACAAAAGAACCTTAGTAAGTAGAAACACCTACCATGTCCCTACATGGGAAGACCCCCACATTTCAAAGGTCCAAACAATCCTAGATTAAAACGAATAAATTTAACACAATACCAATCCAAATGCAAATGAAAGTTTTAGGGAATGTGACTTAATTCTAAAATTCATCTGGAAGAACAAGCACATAAAAGTCAGTCCTTTTCTCCTGCCACAGAGGAAGCAGCGCCATGCTCTGATGAAACCCACCCCCGCAGAGAAGTTAGCACCAGCCTGTCTTCCATGGGAATTTCCTCACTTTTCTTTGTACTTTTTCTACCTGTATGTGCACCCATATACACTACAAACTAATTCTACATAATTTTTGAACTTTACATATAATGAAATCATGTAATATACTTTTTTACATACCAGTAGTATTTCTTCCAATGGACATGTTTGTAAGTCTATTCATCACTTAGTTGTTGGTACTGAATTGTAACTGTCCCATTACGCTCAAAGAATATACCCGATATGATTTCAGTCCTTTTACACTTAAGAAAAGTTTTGAGGGCTACATTAAAAAAAAAAAATTAAATGTTCTGTGTTATGGCTGGTGTTTGGAATGTGTGATGCTGGGGTTAAGGGCTTGTGAGTACTAAACCACTGCATGTGAGCGATTAGTTAGGCACCACACTAATCCCAGTAGTCTGGATAAGGTAAAAGGGGCAGAAGGATGCTGTTAAACAACTCTCTTGCCTTTGCGATTGTGTGGGCGCCCTGTTGTTTCTTCTCTTTGATGCCTGTTTGTCGTCCCTGCCTTGGAGCTGGCCGACTGTGGACTGAAACCTCTAGGACCTGTGAGCCAAATAAACCCTTTCCCCTCCAACTTTGGGTGTTGGGTATTTTGTCTCAGCAATGACAGAAAAGTAACACATTCTGTATGTAACTATAAAGAACACGTGTTTTGCAATCATTAGGTGTGCAATGCTAAATATGCCTATCAAATCATTTGTTAATCACACTGCTCAAATCTTCTATGTATTTGCTCATTTTCTGCCATTCGTTCTATTAGTCATAGACAAGTTGTTAAAAATAACCTCCAATTTTGGGTTTGTCTATTTTTACTCATAGATCAATTTTTGCTTCCTATATTTTAAAATTGTGCTATTGAACATACACAAAATTATGACACTTAAAAAAACTGATTTGAACCTTTTATGATTACCAAATTTTGTTCCTAATAATGCTTTGAAGTCTACTTTGATGTTAAGGTAGACAGAAATACATCATTCCCATAGTAGTATCTTAAATCAGCTATTAATCACTTTCTCATTATTTCTGTGAAGTTTTCAAATAGACATTTTCCCTGGGTTTTTCTAGTTCGCTTGTCTTGACTCAAAGTTTATCATTTCTTGAAGGAGTTTGTTCTTCATGTCCAGTAACTCATACTTTCCCACACTTGGTGGGTTGTATTTTAGGTCTTTTAATTTTTTTTTTTTTAACTAGGGATTGATCTTAGGTCCTTGCATTTGTGAGGCAGCCCAGGTCTTTTAAATTTATAGCCTATTTTATTAACTCTCTGCAGCTGTGTCTAATCTCTTTCACCTAACAGCTAAATTTTTGTTAATGACCATATTCTTTACACATTTTATTTAGTCCTTATCCAACTGTCTGTTTCCATCATCTTGTTTCTTGCTTGTTTCTAAGCTTCTCCAATATCTCACAATGGCACTGCGCTGGTTGTGTGTGTGTGCATGTGGTGGGGTACTGGGGACTGAACTCAGGGCCTTCACACTGCACTACATTCCCAGTTGCTGAAATTTGTGATCCTCCTGCTTCAGAGACCCAGGATGTCAAGGTTGCAGGTGT